GCAAATCAGGAGCTAACATACACAGATCTAACTCAAAGGCATCCATCAACTTTCAGTATCCAATCTGAAACATTCAGATTTACTTTTTTAAGGATAAAGAGAATTCTATAGCATTTTACCTATTGAAACAATAGCTTCCACTGACCCAGGCAGAATCTGTGAGACCTCAATACTTCCGTAAGCAAACCCCTCAACATGTGAGAGAAAAAAGAAATTAAAACGAAAGAACAGACAGTTGGCAAGCAACTGAATACTTCGGCTTAGGTAACATTATCAGGAAAACAATGGGCCATGCCACAGAGTACAGGATAAAATCCTGTTATACAGGAAAGCATTCAACTCATCTACCAGTCTTTTGCATCCTTTCCCACCCCACAAGCTCTTACGTCTTTCACAAGGTATCTTTCAAATAGTGAAACACAGCAAATTGTAGCCTACCAGGAAAGAATACAGTTTCATATAAAAGCAGGTCCACCTTAGGCACTAAGACAGAATTCATCTGGAAAAAATGTGATCATGCATTTAAAAACTTTATCATAATACTTAGGCAGAACAGGGCCAAATCAAGTTTTCATGGATATCATCTTTACTTCTGCAACTTCTTTACTTTTTCAACATATGAATCTCCAACTGATGACAGTCAAATGATGTGACTCTAATCAGATACTGCTTTTTTCATTGCATTCACACATAGAGGTTGCTCCAAAAGCAACGTTTCAATCGATTTCTCTGCCTTCTGTTCTTCAACTTAACATTGAGGTGGTAGAGGCTTTCAAATTAGAACTTACTGCCTTACACACAAATAAGAAAGGGAAAATTTTAGCTGTATGCCTGGAGTAGATAGAAGTGATTCAACAAACTTAATCTTACTTTACATCTCAGATTTGTAAAATACTGTTCCTTTACTTTTATTAAGTTCTGAAGCCAGAAGCTGTCCTCAATCTTAAAGTGACTCTCCAGGTTTGGAGGAATTCCAAGTGGGAGATTAGCAGCCTGCTCAAATACAGAATATAAAACATGTATGTTTTGTTCATTACTTTTCATACACTCTTAAATGCTGACCTAATGTAAAATTATCAATAACATAAAAAGCTGAAAAAATAGGTCTATTCACTTATGATTTCTGCTTAATAAGCAGTTTAAAGCTGAACATATTCTTTATTTTTGTAAAAAAGCAGCAACAAGATCAATGTAAGTAGAAACTAAAAGAACAATATCCCACAAGAGATGCAACTCACAAGAAAACCCAAGAGGATTAAATTTACATTTGCTCTAATTTCATAAACATCTGGAGTTCAACCAGGAATTAATGCAACCCTGTAAAGACATTATACTCCTTTTCCATTGGATTCAGCAAATTTCCAGGAATTCTTATCACAGAGATGAATTAGCTGTTGCAGGAAAATTGCAGGTTTGACACGTAAGGCATGCTATGTAAGTAACAGTTAAACAGAATTTTAAAAGTAAAGTTTTTAGAAAATAGCAATTAAGCAACAGAACACGTTCATGCACTTTTACAATGCCATAATTCACTTGCATATACAAAAAAAATTCTTTACAAGGTAAATTCCCTTTATTGAAAACGCTAAGTTACACTAGGAGATAAAAACTTGGAGAGTTTTTATGTTAATTTTTTATCTCAATTTATTTTTTCACAAATTAGGTTAGCACTGTTTTGTATTTTGATTTCACTGAGAAAAAAAAAAAAAAAGAAAAAAAAACCTAGGATTTTTTGGCAAATACATCTCATGAACAGATTTCCAGAAACTGAATGCTCAGGATGAATTTACCAATCAATGCTAAGAGCTTATCATTTAGTCCTAACAACAGTTAACTATATAAAAAAATCCCTACAAGAAAGAAGATAAAGTACTAACTTGTGCAAGACAAAAACCTGAATATCTCCGGGTTTGTGATCTGTGAACTAATTATGGGAAAAATAACTGATTCCCTAAGTAAACAGCAAACCAAACCAACTTTTGTTGCAGGACTCCCTACTGCCTAAGAAGGGACCGGAGCTGAGCGTTTCCCTTCCGTCAGGGCAAGCATAACAGCTCCTCCCTGCATGAAATGTCTGCAGCCCAGACCACCGCTGCCCCCTCAGCGGGCATTTTTCCATCACAGAGCTGCCTCATTCCATAAAACCCACCAAGGAGCCCCAAAGTTACTGATTACCTGCCAGCAAGTCCCCCTACAGTACCGGTCATGTAAGTCTCATTTTCTTCGGGAACAAAACTTTAAGGAAAAAAAAAGTTTCTTCATCCAGTTTTGTTTACTGTTAGCGCTTTACAAACATATAAACAAATCGGGATTTACTATGTTCGCCTAAACAGAAATTACATCATATCTTCCTTCTGCAGTATCGTATGTTATCTTCCTACTGCAGAGTATCTACTGCTCTGTAACAACCATAAAGCGTTTAGTTTTAATAGCAGTTCATCCAGCAAAGCTCAGTTCTACTTTCCAGTGTGCTGTGCTAGCAAAACAGTAGCATTCAAACTAACAACAGGAATAGCAATAAAGGCCCCAGATGTCCAGGAGGAATGCAAGTGCTGAATACAAACTCAACTCACTGAACAACACAAAATTATCTAACGACCGATCACCGAACTGGCTTGAAGAACTAAAGGATGTGTTATCTTGGGAAATGGAGGGAAGTCAGTGGATTGCAGACGTTGATCAGACGATACCTATCCTAGCTACGACACCACTAAAATGATAAGCCTTAGGGATGTGCTGAGAACTGGACAATTTGAAGAGCCTACACATTCGTAAAAAGAAGAAAAAAAACCAACCCCACGCCAAAAAATCCTACTGCAATAAAGTTGGCAAAGATAGCCAAAACAGTTTATGCAGCATGCAAGCAAGAAACAGCTGCATTCAAAGAAAGTGAAAGTTAATCAAGCTGATCTCCAAAAGCTGGACAATGATAGAACTGACTCTCATGTGCATATGAATTCTAAGAGAGATAGAACTACACGATCATTTATGTTTCACAGAATTTTTTTCTCATTCAGTTATCTTTAATTTTTTTTACTGTGATGGAGGAGACAGCATTTTCCCTGACCTTCCTCTCACTATGACTTGTAGATGAAATCTTTATAAAGTATTTCAACATGAGCTAGAATGCTAGGATGATAACTTTAGGTTAGACAAAGTTTGGTAAAAGTTACAAGCAAACGAACACAAAAGTCTTATCGAGGAAAATGCAGATCAATATTAAAGGACTGGTTTAGAATCTGTTGGTCACACACAATTACAATTTTGAGCAGCAAGAAAAATCATCCGCTAAACTGCAAGAACCCCTCACTTTAAACCCCTGCCATTGACTTATGTCACTTGAAATAATCCAACTTCTAGTAGTTAATTACAAAGGTCCTAATGCATCCTGGAAAAGATTCTGGGGCCTACCTATACACAGTGCTATTCATGAACCTTTATTCCTAAACTGTAGCTCTCTGTTGCAGTTTCACTTAATCCACTTACAGGAGAAGGGCAAGCATTCATACCTACTAGACATTACACTTAAGAACTGATATCTTACCTAAATTTGCACTGGGTTCACATAGAGACTGAAGGACTTCTGACTGCACAGCTCCTGCAACATGCTAATTTTTTACACCTCTGAAAAAAAAATATCAACTTTCAACCTCTCTAAACACCTCTATGAATACGATTTATTTTTCCTTACATATTTTTGTGATAGAAAAAACAGAAAAATGAGAGAAAAGAATTGCATAGGAGAGTTTTAAAAGTCATCTTTTTCATGAAGGTAGTAGTAGCCCTTACATATTTCTTCGATCAAATGTCAAAGCATTATTCAAGCAGAACATGAAATACTATGAAACTATTTTAACAATACTGGAAAACTGACTGAATCAATTAACAGAAGACCTGACTCACTACAGTTGCTCTTTTCCTCACTATTTACACATACAATTTAGAACTTTACAGAAACCGAAATACAAATACGAAAACTAAGAAAAAGAAAGCAGAAAAAAGCAAGGAATTAAGAGCACTGTCTGACCTACCAAAATCCCTCCATCCCCTGTTTAGCACTGAAAGAAAAAAATAGAAATCCCATATAAATCAGCTCAGTTAATACTGATCATTGACTGGTGTTCTGAAGAATATCTTTGTTTAGGTAAACCCTGCCTCGCCTGAGTATATATGCATGCTGATAGTAATTGATACAAATGACTCCAGCTATCACAAAAGCTTCCATTTCCACCTTAAGAGCTCTACAAGCAATACTTCATTAGATCCAGCTGCCTAAAATTCATAGTAAAATTCAACACCAAGAATTGCAAAAATTACAACTCTACTTGGTCAAACTTCTCATTTTCCCTCCCCATATGTATCTAGGAAGCTATAGGGAGCCAACCTTCAGACACTGGCCAAAATTTTGATGTCCTGCTTTTGTTCCATGAGTCCAGTGCATTTATTCCTTAGGAAGTACTAAAGATCTTGAAGAAATCTTGGCCTCCGCTCTGTGAACTGAACTCTCAGCCCTCCTAGTTTTTAAGTGCAACTATTGCCAAAAGTCAGAGAAATCACCAAAATTGCATGCAAGGAATGAATTTCCTCTACCTTCTTCAAATACATATGACCCCTCTCCATCCGTACAAAAAGCCATGCTGGACCTATCAGCTCCAGACTGCTAATGCCCAGTAACAAACCTTCTGTTCCACATCAAGCTCATTGTGAAGCTAGCCAAAAGCCTACTCTAAGTTCCCCTCAGCAAAGAAAACATACTAGACCCACAAAATCAAGGTTCTGGCCAAAACATGAGCAGAAGTTAGCTGGAAATCATCCATCAGTCCCATTAAAACTATCAATAGGTCCCTGTGAAAGCTATCAAGAGGGTCATGGGCAGATGACCACTATTATCCTGATGGAAATTCTCTACGACAATTGATCATGACCTATTCTGCCTGAAAAAGCTGGCAGAGATTTAGAGCAGTATATTGCTTTGAGTTCACTGTTGAGAAACTCCCATCACTACCATCTGTGTAGAAATACAGGTTTACCACCAAGATCTTTGACCGGTGACAAAAGAATATAAACTAAGTTTAGTATGTTGATGTGATCTGCTTTTTTGTGGCACATGATGATTACTACCAGCAGGATAATTTTATTGACTTTGAAACCTTCAATGGCATTACCAACTGAGTAAAACATAAAGGTATAAAAAGTTAGGATGGGTGTAAGGACTGTCCAACTTCTGCAAGCAAGTCATACAGGTCTTCCAAGTCACCTGTATGCCAAGTTCTTGGATGTAACACATGAAAGTATTTGAAATCATTCACAAAACTAACACACCAACCCCATCAGCAAGTTCTTGCCAGTGGACTATCAGTGAGGCAGTCCCAGTCTACACCAAGGACTTGTTTCTTAGCAGAGCTTTTATACAAACACAATTTTTATAACAAGGTCAATGTAAACCAGCAGATTTCACAGAGGATCAACACCTTTTAAAAAACAGTAGGCTCAGGAAGAAACACCCCCATCTGAACTACAGGGTTTCTACACAGTAGATTGGTTTGTAACAGAAATAGGGGGTGTGTGTTAAGAACATTATTTTTACCATTATTTTCCATATTTTATTCAAACAAAGAATTAGAGTCCAAACGTTTTTCCTTAAAGAAAAGGTAAACATGCACAGAAAAATTCTGAGACATAAAACCTAATCCCTATTACAGCACCGAGAAGGAGACAAACTCTGACCTCAACAGTATGGACTGCTTCATAATAAATGTAAAATAGTAATGAAACTAGTTACCTAAAACTTCTTCACTGAACTGGCGATATGAGTATTTCTGCCTTCATGCAGGAAGAAAAATTTGACTGTGCGAGTCGGGCAAAAACAATTCCTAGTCTCTTTGGCAAGGAAGGAAAAAAACCCCAAGCAACCATCAAACCTTCTTGCTTCCACCTCCCTTCCACGAAACAGAATCCATACACTGGAATACAGCAGCTACTATATTGGATCATAGAGTCTAGTATTAATACACTAGTATACTGAACAAATAGCAGCACACTGGACATACATATGTATATATACAGCTGCCAGTATAGTGGCCATATATACTAGTCTTGCATCTCCATCGACAGCCAGAACTACATACTTCAAAGGGATATTCAAGACTCCACAGAAGCCAGATGCAAGACGTGCTCTTGTAATATGTCCAAGAAATGGACTACATTGATATTAAACATCACGGTTAAGCAATTTCAGTAACTTTGTTATCAGTTTTCCTAACTACCAGTGATCTGGTATCTGTGTAGGCATGCAGTACAGACATATTTAAAGCTACTGGTTTATGAAATTGAAAAAATATGGTAGAAGTTGTCCTTACATTAAAAAAATATGTATCTCCTGTCAGAGGTATGTTTGATAATGTTGTATCAGAGAAAATTATAGCAATGCAGTGTATTAAATTTGAAACAACTATTAATTCTACACCAGTGCAACTGGTGTACCAGCATTTGAAATTGCTTTATTGCAGACTATTTAATAGCAAATAATTTCTCATGTATTTGAGTGACATAAGCACAAAGTGGTATGAAATTATAAATATTCTAAATCGACTTACCATCAGAACTTGTTAGAACAAAGCTCTCGGCATGGGACTGCTTCTTCCCACCTGTACTTCTGGGAAACCAGTGAAGATCTATGGGATAAATATCATCTGGAAGTTTCACTACTCGAGTAGTCTCACTAGTTAAAAGGTTCCATTTCACAATTTGGTGATCATCACTGCAGGAATATAGCTCATCAGCTGTAGTCCATCCCACACAGCTAACTAATTCTTTATGTTTAATTAAATTAAGGAAATCTAAAAATTTTAATTATTGAAAATAAGCTTACAAAATATCTCATCTAGGCTATACGAAACTGAAGGAACAGTAGGGGACAATTATTTTGATAAGATTACATGGAACGTTTTATATAAAGAAAATATGATTCTTCATTCTTTTTTTTGCTCTTGCGTCAAGAAAAGAGCTGATAGAAATTCAGGAAAAAATAAACTGTATCATGTAAAACCATAATTCTTATTATGATACATACTTATTGAAACATAGCTGAAACGTTGAGTTACACCTCTAGAAGGGCCTTAGTGCAGTCATTCAAATGTGTTGGTTTATTAACACCACATCACATAAATTGTTGACACATCTAATTTATCAGTAGGAAAATCACAATTTTGTTTACATCTGCTACATGCATGTCTTATTACAAGCAAGTAGATATAGCACTACTTTTATTTACTGTCTGGAAAAGCTTTTAACTTGTCACTACAACCAAGAAAGTAAAAAAACCTCAAAACTTTCTAGGAAAACACTGATAGCTTCTAAAGGGAAGGTATTACTCTAAGATCGTTCAACATCTCTTAAAACATTGCCCTTAAAGGCTGCACTGAATGGCAAGGTGAAGAAAACAAAATGAAAAAAAAAGCCACCTGCAATTTGCAAATATTTTATTATGACATTTATGATAAAGAAATCCTTTCCAGAAGAGAGGCTAGTCAGAATTCACATGCTTTTGTACGGTTTATTCTGAGACAAAGGATATGTTTTGGTTCCTTTAAAAGTGAAGTCTTCAGTCTCATTTCAGTTATTCAGATGGAGAACTAAAAAAAGATATGTATGTATGTTATAACTGTAATAAAACAAACACATATATAAGTACCCAAAATTAAAAAGGAAGACAAACACCAAAATAAACAGTTTTGAAATAAGTAATACTACATTAGTACTGTGGCAAAATAAGCACCAAAACAGACCTGAGTTTTAAGGGATTTCTGTTTGTACAGTACCCAATTCCACTTTTACTGATCGCTTAGTATAAACACACTGGACAATTCAAAGAACAAGTGATCCTAGGAACACATTGCTGAAACATTATAGGTTGAAACACTGAAGTTCTCTTGTGCTGACATATAGCCATGAAGGTAGCAAGGGAAAACCTGGAATTGCAAACTTTTCAAACAACTTCATGCTTAGCGAGAGCCACTGTGGGAAAATTTAGAGGAAAAAGCCATCCTATGAAAATAATCCTGCTGTGACAAAATGACACAACACCCTAGTCTTTCATCCACCCCTACCTGTAACGTCCATAATACTTTACTGCAACACAGTAATTCCAAAAGCAGTTCAATAGAGTCCACCCTCTTGTCTCCCCTTCCCTCCTGGGATAGCAAAAGCCTTTGTGTGCATGTGCCTGGACAGTGTAGACGCACTGATCCACTTAAAACTTTTTTGTCTTCCAGGATAGAAAGAAGTGAGAGCGAGAGGGAGGGAGCAGATTATATACTCTGAGGAGACCCTTATGATGCACAATGTGGTCTTCCAATCTTCTGGAATTTTTTTGCCATAAAAATTACAGTGTGTCAAACAGTTACTATGCAGAATTTAAGAAACATTAAAAGGATAAGAGTCCTAAAACATAATTTTGTGTGCCCAAAGAATAAAATAAGATAGTTTTGACCCTACTTTACATTAATTGATCAACATACATGATAGTTATTTTTATTTTTAAATAATTATATCTCTCATACTTGAACATCTAATTTCCTTCTCCTACCCTTATCCAAAAACTGCATAGGGCATCTCATCACCAAGGCATTTAAAAGGGCCCTGAGTTTGTAGTAAACTTTCACAGTAGCCTTTTAATCATGTCCTTGACTTATGTATGGCAGCAATGCCATTGTTCAGCACCTGCATATACCTGTTCAGTTGCAGGGCTAGTCTTTGTGCCACAAATTCTGAAACTAAATCCCCAAACATAAACCATAAGATTTGTATATGGCAGAAACAGCACGGAGTAAAACAGTATTAAAGATTTAGTCTCCACTTTAATGTAAGCATCTCTCCTGCTTAACCGAATATCTCACATTTCTTTGGATGCATGGATCTTATTTGCTTCTATTTTCTGTGCACACCACACCTTGCTAAACCCAGCTTTTCAGTTGCTGCTTGGTAGTTTTCGTTTATTTCTCACTTAAGAGTTTCCAGCAGGCATGTCGCTGTTGTCAGCTTCCAGCTTGCACTCCCTCCCTGCTCCCTCTACATGGGAGTTCTGTTATTTTCCTTTCAAAGACAAGACCAGAACTTTATTATAATTTTTGAAAACGGTTTAAACACTCTGTACGTGCACCTACAAGGCCGAACGCTCACCCTTATGTCGCACAGCTCACCTGCTGTCACCCACAGGTACATCCATCATTACCCATCCTAGTACATACACTACATACAACTCCGCAACCAGTCCAACAGCAGGCTAGCTGAAAGCATTTACTTTTAAAAAAGACGGGGCAAGAACGAGGAGTTATTCTGACAGGCTGCGTTTGCCTCGGCTTCTCCCAGCCTGACACTCCCGCTTGGTCCCACGGTCTTACACCGCAGCCTGACGCCTCCTCGCCCCGGTCCCTGCTCGCCTTCTCCTCCCCTCAGCGGTTTCCCCTCCGGAGCTGCTGAACGAGGAGATGAGGATCAGAGACGGCGGCGGGAGATTGAGCAAGAGCAGGGGGGGAGCGAAGGGAAAGACAGACGGCAGGATGGAAAGACAGGGCGTAGATGGCGGTGGCGGGGCAGGACCTCGCTCCTCACGGCTGTCGCTCCCCGCTGTGAGAGAACCGCAGCGCCCCCCCTCAAACCCGAGGCACAGCCTCAGGCACGACACAGACAGCAAAGCCCGCTCGCCGGCCGTGCCAGCACCCCCTTTTTCCTTCAAAGTTTCCAGCTTCCCAAACAGCACGTTACCCGCCCCCCTCGCCAGAAACCGTCCTCCCTCCGCCGCGCTTTCTCCAGACGTGCGCCAGTGCCCGTTTCCCTCAGGGCCGTCCGGAGCCGGGGATCGGGACTCCCCCGCCCTTACCTCGCCGCCCGCCTCCCTCCGCCGCGCTTTCTCCAGACGTGCGCCAGTGCCCGTTTCCCTCAGGGCCGTCCGGAGCCGGGGATCGGGACTCCCCCGCCCTTACCTCGCCGCCCG